GCATGAGGTGCGGACATTTGCCAGTAAGCTGTAGGCTGTGGAGGTGATTGTGTCATCCTGCCATATCGCTTTACTCTCCACGTAAACTATGAAACGCCAGATTACTCTGCGAATGAACGACTTTCAGGAAACAGTCCTCCACGTACCCTAGCGTTGTCGTCTGACAATAAAAGCGTTACTTGCTTTTATTATGTTTGTTCAGTTTGTGCCGGCAGCTGTGATCGGTGCAAGTAGTATTAAGTAAGCCCCTGAGGTAGGTTTGTTATTAGCAGCGCTGAAATTGAAATGCTGATGGCTTGTGGACATGGTGAATGACGGCTCGTTGGAGTTCCTTCCCATTGTGATAGTACTTAAGGTAGAAACATTGTGAGCGAGGCTCATAAGCTGCTGTCGGTTTTGTCCACAGCTGCTAACATCTCATTCGTCTGCTAAGGAGTGACACCGGTGCGGTGGTTTTCGTTTGCCTCGTTTCTTATTAGCCAACGTTGTACGTATGGCGGCGTTGACATCGAAGCATGCGTTGAACTTGTGACCATGCGCACGGTTTCAGTGATGAAATTGCAGGTTGAGGTAGAGAACGCGGACGTCGCCCTCCAGCTACGACCAGTGATCAAGGATGTCGTCGCCAGAGCTGTCCAATGGTTCGACGTGGCTGGACGCGTACCGCGAAGCGTTGGCCTTCGAGGAGAAGATCGGAATCATCGTGCCGACGTTCTTCGCGTTGATCGTCTTTGTCGGCTTGACGGGCAACGTGCTGGTCATCCTGGTAGTGGCCATCAACCCGACCATGCGCAACAGCACCAACATGCTGATCGTCAACCTGGCCCTGGCTGACCTGCTGTTTCTGTTGCTGTGCGTGCCGTTCACGGCCACCGACTACGCCACCTCGGTCTGGGTTTTCGCCGACTTCTGGTGCAGCATCCTACAGTACCTGCAGAACGTCAGCGCCTACGCCAGCGTCTGGACTCTGGTACTGATGGCGGTCGACCGCTTCCTGGCAGTCGTGTTCCCCGTGCAATCGATGACCTTAAAGTAAGAACATTTACTTAGCGGTTGAAGGCTTTTACTGTCAAGCAGTCGTCGGATTAGTTTGCTGACCACTGAGAATGCTGAACTCTACAGACAAAGATTGACGATTTCCATTACGCAGATTCCGGATAACTGTATGATTACCTCAATTATTGAATATAAGCAAAGGATAATTTTTAAAAGAGGATTTAATGCTCTTAGGCAACGGATTCCGCTAAAAGTATATCCTCAACTCACTGAGTTCATCAATTACATATTAAGTTTAGAGCAGTTTGACCTCGGTCCAGGTGTTAACGTAGTGGTTGTTATAACCAGCTCTTCACCGCAAAAAGGCAACAGAAAATAACGTGCGGGAATGTCACGGTCCAGACTGGCAGCGTGACAAACTTGCTGGTGGCATCTTGAATAGGCAAGGTCACGAATAGTAGGATGACCGATTCGCTAAAACCACTCTTTAATAGCAAAGTCGCACTACCAAAAATTTTTAAGTAGCATGTTTGCTATCCGATGTACCATCCCGTACGTGTTCAAGCTTTTTCATGTAATTCTGTTTAATGCTAACCTTTCCACTTGCATTCACTCGACCATGCCTCCTTTATATGCATGCAGTGGTTCTGCGTAGTGGTTATTAGTCGTAATTTTGCGCTTCAGGTACAACTAGCTCTTCAGGATTCGGTGGTGACTGC